GTGTGTTTATGCGTGCCTTTTAGTCTATTTTACTGTACTTTGTGATGACGCCAGTAAAACAATGCCCCGGATACAGGAGAGCGTGTTATTGCCACCCTTTTCAGCCAAGTTTTCCATATCTATATTCCTCGCTTGCTTTATGCATGGTTGTGTGTAACTTTTTCTTTTGTTTATTAATATTTTATATAAGTCAGATTCTCGAATGAATAAGAATTAGGTGGACCTGCTTAAGTCGCACCACCTCCCCCTGTGTGCTAGGAATAGTTAAGGTAGATATTCACGGCATCAGAGAGCCTCTAACGCCTGAACACTAGAATAGAACTAGGGTACCTTAGTCCAATGAGTCAAGAGGCAATGGGCACGCGGAGTGAAAAGAACGGAATAAATCATGGGTGAAGGGACAAACGTTCATTCATCGGAATGAACGTGTTCGTGTTTTTTCTTCTCATGAGGAAAAGCTCATTCTTGTGAATTTCTCTTGGTTACTTTCAATTAATACACTTACGAATGCTCTAGCAAGTTTCGTTCATTTGCATTTTAGATATTCATTCATTTAACTTTAATTCTATCACCGATTCTGCTGATCCAATGTCATTAAACGGTCGCCTGATGGAGCTGGACTCCAAGGGTTTAGTCATTGATATGGGTGTTGGATATGCAGTATGGATTCAGTGAAAAGTTTGGCAGCCTTATTAATTGTACTCATTAATCGAAGAGCATGGGTGCAGCTAAGAGAGACAAGATAGATATCCTTACCCGTTTTTTGCTGTTGATCTGATCTTGAAAATACTGGTAGACCCCATTACATTGCTCAAGGGTGACAGTCCAACGGCGCTGAGACGGAGCACAGCAACACGTTTTTCTTATTAATTGACAGTCTTATTTGGAATTTCCTCTATGAAGAAATTTCAGCTATTACAAAACTTTGTGCATTTGATAAAACTTCTAATGAGTGGGTTGTGAGATCCCACTGGCTAGTTTCTGTAAGTGATATATGCTGTAGCTGGAGCTCTATGAAGAAAAAAAAATTGGCTCTCCAGTGGCTGACTTGTTTCGATGCTGCTCGGTGTGGAATGCCGTGGAACACCAGCTGAGAATCAGGGACTTATCAGCGTAGATACCTAGAACGGCTCATGAAGTTCCTGGATAAGTGCTACTTATGAAATACCAACTGAGGGTTGTCACGAAAATTATGGAGCGGTGTGGATCTTCTATTGTTTCTTACTTCCTTATTTCAGACTTCTTCGTAAAATGCGGCCACATGGACCCCTAATGAGAAAACTTGTGCAGTCTGATACGCATAAGGTAGACCGTAATTTTATCATAACTCAATAGAGCAGGTTTCTGCTGGAAATTCAGTTATGATATAAAAAAAATGATGAGATCGTGCGAAAAAATCTGCAATGCAGTTTGCTATATTGTTCAGATAAATTCCTGTGACCTGAAAAAGATTAAATGAGAAAATACTGTTTTCCTAATTAACAAAACCGTAATGTCTTACACCGGCTATTGTATTCAAACTTCTTTCTCTTCCACAATTATCAACGCTTGTGCGTTTATCTTGAGCAAAGATGTCCGAAAGAAGTAGTGCTACTTGCACTGGAAGCAGATTTTAAAATATGAAGTATGTAGTCAAAAAACGTGTAATATATCATATGGACATTTGCAATCGTTATGTATTGGCTCTTAGGTTTCGAACCACAATACAAAAGCCTTATGAAAATGAAGAAAGGATTTTATCAGTTTCACTAATCTTTCCACAATTCTACAAAAGTTAAGGAATCCTTTTCAGTATTCGTTTCGTAAAGTTAATATCAAACATAACTTGCTGTATATTTTCATCCACAGGTAACTAATCGTTGTATCAGCGCTTTCGTTTGGCCCGCAGAGGTGTGAAAGTTATGCATTATGATCATCCTGAAGATTTCGGACACCCCTCACATCGAGACATTATGATCATCCTGAAGAGAAAGAGAAAGAGAAAGAGAAAGAGAAAGAGAAAGAAAGAAAGAATCTCGCACTTACATAGACGTTGATCATGACGAACTGAGTCATACCAGTCACGGCAGCGATGGAGATGACGTGCGGTTCCCTGAGCGATGTCACTCGGAAATTTTTCTTGAAGTGGTCCCGGATGACGTGTTTTTTGACCTAGAAGCATATTCAGCAGTAATAATGAGGTGTATATATGTGTGTGTGCGTATGTGTGTGTGTGTGTTTGTGTGTGTGTATTTGTGTGTGTGTATTTGTGTGTGCGTATATTTGTGTGTGTGTGTGTATTGTGTGTGTGTATTTGTGTGTGTGTGTGTATTTGTGTGTGTGTGTGTGTATTTGTGTGTGTGTGTGTGTGTGTGTGTGTGTGTGTGTGTGTGTGGTGTGTATTGTGTGTGTGTGTGTGTGTGTGTGTTTGTGTGTGTGTGTGTGTGTGTGTGTGTGTGTGTGTGTGTGTGTGTGTGTGTGTGTGTGTGTGTGTGTGTGTGTGTGTGTGTGTGTCTATATA